GAAACCTGTTCTCAAGAGGACATACAAATTAAGACAAAAGTAGTTGCTAATCCGTGGATGGATAAAACACTGATAAAATGCTCCAAAAAGAAGCAAAAACTCTATAATAAATTTCTAAAAAATTAAAACACTGTTAATGAGATAAATTACAAAAACTATAAATATTTTTACCAAAATCTTATTAAAAAAGCTAAAAATAAATACTACAGTAATGAAATCATAAAATACAAATATAATTTCCTTAAAAAACTTATGTAATCTAGATTATACTCATTTTTGAATTCCTTTAATTGTTTAAATTAATTTCAGGTTGGATTTTGATCAAAACACTCTACTTGCCACGCTTTAATAAGTATACCCGAAAAAATAAAGAAGACACTGGATACTGATCATTTTGTAAGTGGTATTTTTATCGACTTAAAAAAGCGTTCGATACTGTCAATCATACCATTTTAATTTCTAAACTTGAACATTGCGGAATCCGAGAAGTTGCTTGTAACTGGTTTTAATCTTATCTTTCAAATCGAAAGCAGTTTGTTAGCATTAATGTTTAAAAATCGAATAAAATACATATAGTTTGTGGTGTTCCCAGGGTTCTGTTCTTGAACCTTTATTGTTTTTGATTAATATCAATGATCTAAATAACTCTGTCTACTTCCCACCAGTCCATCTGTTTGCTGATGATACTAATATCTTGCATATTAATAAGTCTCAGCATTCGTTGTGTAAGTATTTAAACTTAGACCTAAAAGGTTTAGTACATTGGCTAAATGCAAACTTAATTTCTCTGAACTTGCAAAAAACTGAACTAATATTTTTTTTTATCTCCAAGACAAAAACAATACAATAATCATATAACTAAAATTAAAATTAATAATTTATACGTTTATTATTTATACGTTTATATTCAACATACGTTGTTAAATATCTTGGTATTTTTATAGACTCGAATCTATAATTCGCCATTATGTTGATAAAACTACCCTTAAGAATCTGTATTTTGCAATTTTTCAATCTCATCTCATCTACTGCTGTCAAGTTTGGGGACAAATTGGCAAATCTAATATTAATATTTTGTTATCAGCTCAGCGCCAATCAATCCGAATAATTAATTCCAAATAATCAACGCCGTAATACAGAAACTTCAAAATTCTTCAAAAAAATTAAAATTCCTACCTTGTCAGCACTAGTTAAATTTGCTAACCTTATTTTTGTTTTTCACTCCCTTAATAAAAATTTATCTTTCTCTATTACAACCTTCTTCACTGAAACTCGATTTATACATTCATATTTAACTAGAAACATCAATAATGGAAAAATAAATGTACATTTTATAAAACTTTGAGGTATGGTAAATATTCAATTACACATCAGTGAATCAGTGAATGGAATTGAAGTCTTGTGGGCATTGTGAATGAGTTTGAAAAATTAAAATTTCAAAATAATTTATCTTCATTTCTTTATTTAAAATAAAATTAAAATTAAAAAAAAAAAATTTTCAAAACAAATTGACAAAAAAAATTTGCTTTAATTTTTTATCATTATTAACTTTCTTTAGTTATTGTTATTTTTTCTTACTATTTCTATAGAAACTTTAATATTTTTGTCATTAATATTTATTACTTTCATTACTGCTGTTTTTATTATTACTACTATTATTACAATTATAAATATTATTGTTGTTATTACTTTTTAAATTAATATTATTAATATAATTATTTGGTGTCACTGCTTTGATCAGGATTCTGCATGAGTGACTCTTTCCTCTATCAATTATTTATATTTATTCTTAATAATTATATTTTGATTTTATTATTTATGATATTTTAGATATTCTTATTTATATTATTTTCATTATTACTACTATTAAAATATTATTGTAGTTTTACGATTGTAAATTATGAGGGAAATAATTATCTTGTTGTTGTTGCTGCTGTTGTTGTTGTTGTTAGCAACGCTCTCTGAGAGTCAAAATAAGATTAAAAAAGAAAACCACCTCACTGAGAAGCATTAATTAAAAATTGTATTGTTTTCAGATAAAGTGGGGCGGCCCTCGATACAAAGAGGCCCTAGGTGTACAAACTTCCTCAATATATAGTTTCATTATTTTATTTGTTTACTATAATTGAATATCAGTTTTTTTAAAGAATTAATTTAATTTGAATTTATTGCATTTTGCGGAAAGGTGTTCCAATCATTAGATATTCTGTTTATGAATAAGTAAAGCCTGATTGTTTCATTCTTTGAGACTTTGTTTAGTATTTTATATTTGTATAGGCTGAAAAAATCAGGGAAGCTCGCGCTACTGGCTCAAAACAAAGTTATTTTTATAAATAATTCTAATATCATTTGTTGTAAAAAATAATATCATTTGTTGTAAAAAATCTTGAATTAGTGCCGTTTAATTGAAACCCTGTTATTTCATATAGGAAGAACTAAGATGACTAACGTTCTCCAATTTATGCAGGAAAATGTTGTAAAAATCTGAACTTCAATTAACTTTCACTCTACGCTCTCCTACGTAAAAAAGAAGATGATAAGGATCACCACTTATGTTTACAAAGTTATTAACCATAATTTTAATAAATTAAGAACTTAATGTTATGTAGAGAGTACCTGTCTCAGCACATCTCTCATAAACTACATTTCACAACATTTTAAATATTTTTCAAATTTTTTTGTATGGTCCATTTTTCAGCCACTCATAAACAAGCTTGAGTTTATATTTTAAGAAGCTTGTTTTATTTATATTACAGTTTTTATCAGAACCTAAAAGTTTTACCTAGCCGGTTTCCGTTTTTAAAAATTACCTGGTTTTTTCAAAAATAACTAAGTTGTTTCAAAAAAATAAATGATAAATTTTTTTTTCTAAAAAGATGACTCTTATCGCTAAAAAAAATTTCATAAAAATTGTGAGTTCACTCGGACCTTTTTTGTGACATTTATTTTAATACAAAATATGAATTTAAAATAGCTTTAATGGATGATAATAGATGTTGACATTCAGAGCCAACGACACGGGTTTCAAAGTGGGGGGCATAATCGTCAATTTTTTTTAAAAAATCCTCTATATCTAGAATTTTTTTTTTAGAAAAAAAAAAGGGTCATATAGAAAAAAAAGTAGAGGGGAGGGTACGTGCCCCCTCCTTCCCCCCGTGTCTTCAGCTCTGATATTTCAATATTTTTCACCAAGAACAGTTTCGTCTATTTGTCAAAGTTAATTAGTGTTGGCGTATGACCCAATGCTGAATATATCTTTTTTTTTTAATATATTTTTTCTCAAAAAGTTCTAAAATCTATAAATAAACTTAAAGTTTTATCAAAAAAGAATTTTTTCGTTTAAATGAAACTTAATTAAATAAGTTTGATCAAATAAGCATCCTGCGGTCAAAATAATGAAATTTTAAATCCTTCAATAAGTTTTATTCGACTTATAAAAATTTATACTTTAAAAAAGCAATTTTTTCCCACATTTAAATGTCTGATGACTGCTTGTAGGGTGTCTTTGTTGCTAGACTTTTTTTTTTTTTTTTGTCAAAAAAAAAAAAAAAAAAAAATGCGTATGTTATATAATAAGTAACAGATTGAAGTTTTGTTATATGATTAAGGAGCAACTTAATGGAAAAAAAAAAAGATATTTGTATAAACTATTTATAAACTAAGATATTTGTATTAGACATATTTGTATAGACCCAATTTATAAAACTTTTTCTCAATCTCATATAAGATAAAAAAACACGTTCAAAGCAAAACAAGATAACATATTTAGGAAACTCTCTTAGGAAGCTAATTAAAATTTCTGTTTATTGAAGAATGCCATCAATATTTTAAAAGTAAATAATGTTGCTAAACGAGGAATAAATTAAATGTCAGTTTGATAATGTTCAGCGATTAACAAAATCATAGGATTAAAAAAAAACAGGTGTTCCAGATGTTGAACGACGATTCTGCTTTTATGGCTTGCTTTAGCAAAGAAATATTGAAATAGGACTTCAGTGAAAACTATTGACAAATAGTTAAAAACATTTCATGAAAAAATTTCAGCTTTGTATATGTTATATGTTTTATTTATTTGTGTAGTAATAGGACTTTGTGGTAGATTTTTTAAAAATTGAGTTCATAGCGCGACACTTAAACAATATACTTTTATAAAAAAATTGGTAAAACTTTTACCCAAGGTTATATTCACAATACCTCCAATTTATTCGACATTAGGAAAAAGTTATACCTTGCATAAATTATGAGCATGTCTAATGAGCGCACAAAAGATTGAAGTTTGGAACATACTTAGAAGTTACTAAACTCAAATATAAGAAAAAACCTGAAACCATCTCAAATAAGTTAATATCATTTGCAGCTGTTGCATAGCAGTTAGAGTTCTGGTTCAGAACTAAGAGATTCGAGGTTCTACGCTAACTCAAGCCAAGTTGGTTTTGACATTTGGTTTTAATCCAATTTGTTCAGACATTGGTTAGATATTATTGGTTAGATAGGCGTCATAAAATTCCTAATTCGGGAATTAACTAGGAAGTTTACGATTCCTATCTAACCAATGTCTGAACCAATTGGATTAGAGCGGTGAGCGAAATAGCGGTAGAATTCTACCGTTCTTGCGCGGTGCTCTATGATAAGACCGTACCTACTTCTAAAAGCACCTTAATAACTACCCAAAAAAGTAAAAAAAATTGTTTTACTTTCTCCACAACCTATATTAATTAATAGAAGTCAGAAAAGTCAGGAAAAATCAAAACTACATGAAATTTAAATTTAAAAGTCTATTATATATTGAGAGTCTTTGCAAGTTTTAAACAACTCTGAGGGAACTTGAAGGCTTTTTCAAAATGTTCTAACTTTCAAACTAATTCTAGTTTTGGCATGCAGCAGTTGTTGGGTGATTCACTTTTTTTTTTTCAAAGTTAATTTTCTTTTTAATTATTAATAGAGGAAACTAAGTTGTAATATACCGACGCAATAGGAAGCGTTACATACAAAAATATGTTTTGGATTGGCTGTTTGATAAATTACTGTGTATAAAACAGCGTCGCGAAAAAGCTTTTTTTTCAAAAGAATTCTTTTTTTATATATCGTACAATGGATACTTCCAAAGTAGATATAAAAGTTCAATGGAATCTTTCTGTTGAAGACATTAAATCAAAAGTTCAAGAACTAATTGAAAAAACAAGATCCGTGTATGATTATGTTGGTTCAATTCCTGCTGATGAAGTTAACCTTGAAAATGTGCTAATGGTATCAATATTTTTTGTATCAATTATTCACTTACACATACACTGTTTTAAAGCATCATCAGTTTACAATATTTTTGAGTGACTGATTTGTCTTGTTTTACTTACGTTATTTAAAATAGTATTTAAAATTTTCTGTTATAGCTTGTTTTTTTTATAAACAAAACGAGACATAACAGAATATTTTAAATAGTATTTTTATTTCTCTTTTTCTTTTTCATTTTTAAAACCAATTTAAGTAGTGTTTTAATTATGAAATGTTACTTTCTATTTCTAAATGCATATAATATATTAGCATTGCAGTAATAGAGTAAGTAATATCATAAAATTTTGATTCACCCCCTCCCCATCATTTTATTTGTAGAATCGCTTCTGGGTAGATGTGGTGTAAATGTTACCCTTACACTACTCTACCTGCATACCCTATTACTAAAAACCTTTTTTTTCTTATAAATACATTTATGTTCATTAAAATGAGTCAAGCTTGTATGAAAAGTAAAAATTAAATTTTAATATATTACAACATATGTTAGAGAATGGTATAAACACTAACTTGGAGGGTGGAGTGTTTAACCTCTTCTTAAACCCCCATCACCCATCCAAAAACAACAGCAAAAAGTTTTAAATTTTTAAGCTGCTAAATCAAATTTTGAATGTGGCCTTGATAATTCTGGTCCCTTGACATAACAAGAAGTAGAGACAAGAGGAGGTCTGTCACTATCTTTACTGTCCAAAAATGCATATTTCTTTAATATATGAAAAATATTTCAATAATATAAATATTTTAGCAATCTAAAATGAGAGAGGTTAGTATCAAAGATTTTATTATATTTTAAATTATATCAGTGCTTTATCTATCGCTACTATTGGAAAAGAGCATTCTTCCTCTAAACTAATTTTTTTTTTTAATGAACAAAAATATTTAGTGTGAAATAAAAAAATGTAAATTTGAAAATTTTTATATTTACTCAAATCAATCAAAGTTAATGAGTTAATTAAAATGATATTAAAGTGCAAATAATAATTAAATGCAGAACTCAAATTAATCAAGAAAAATCTAATTGCGAAAATTTTTAATTTTTTTTCTGTGACTCATCCTGCCTCCAGACAGGCAGAATGAGTCACAGGGGCAGTGCCTCTATGCTTAAAATGTTTTTTTTTTGTACAAATTTGTATCTTTTGTACATTAGTTTATAATTGCTTTTTTTAAAACGTAATATCTTTCATATTTAAAGTGTGTGCTAATATAAAACAACATCACTATGTTCTTTTATTTATGTTTTTATACAGTTCTCAACATTAGTTAAAAAGTAAAAGGCATTTTAGGTAAAAAAATGTAAATAAATAGAATTAATCTAATAAATAAATTAGAGTTGATGAAAACATTATTGTCATAAATATATGTGCAATCTGTAGACCAAAACATGCACAATCTATGGACCAAAACATGCACAATCTATAGACAAGTATGATCAAATCAAAAAAACAAAAGTGTTAACTCAATAAAATACTTAAATTATTAGATACGACATTCTTCCTAGGTTTATTTCTTCTTGATCTTAACAGCATGCTATTAAAATGTTCAGTATAATTAATTTTTATATTTGTTTTTTGAGTATCAACTTAACAAAAAAATTAAATAAAAATAAAAGATGTTTTTTTTTTTTTTTTTTGTTCAGATTTTTTTTGTTCAAATTGTTCTGCAAAAAAAAAAAAAAAAAAATTAGTTTTAATTGTTAAACAATTTTGAAAGTATGACAACTCTGGAGAACACTTCTGCAAGACTATTTTACTAATTTTGCTAATTTAATATTTGCAAAAAGGAAATAAAAATCATGTTGCTTTTATAAAAAAATTTAACTATAAAAATCTTTACAAATTAAATTAAACTTTCTTCCTCACTTACACTATCTTCTAATTCTAGTTTTGGTACTGTTGCTAGATATTCAGGAATGATCCTCATTAGGCTACAGGGTATTACGAACATCTTTAATTAATTTTATAATTATTGTAAACCAACATATGTTTTCAAAATTATTTAAATTTTTAAAAAATATATTTAAAATTTCAAGTTTCAAATATAAGATTATTTTAACAAAAGAGTTTTAAAATACTAAATTCTATTGTTAAAATAGATTCCTTTAAAAAATAAATTCCTCAAAAGAACTTGCATATTTAAAGAAAATGTTTTATTTTGATATCGCTATAAATGAAATGAAAATATTTTAAAAATGGCATTGTGTTTTTTATATTATAATCAAAAGTTTTGTTAAAATAAAATGTAGTTAAAAGCTTTTTATACGTTAACAACATATAAGATATAAATAGAAACATTGCTATGGCTAACTTTTACTAGTAAATGTCTTTGAGGATAGTAAGCAGGGGCTATTCTAGACCGTTTTTGACATGTACTAAAACTTCTCTGAATTTAACGCACTTGAATAAATTATCAAGTCTGTATAATGCGCCTGGAAAATTGCAATTGTAAAATAAACATTTTACAGACTCCAAATACCGCAGAAAATGGAGAAGACATGCTTCAACTAAAACAACAAGATTTATTTTTCTTGGTATACATTTATTAATTGGTTTTAATCAAAAAAAATTACAACATGTCTCGGGACTTAGTAGTCCCTTTAAGGGGTTAACTCAAGTAACCAAAAACTATATTCGTGGTCTTTAAATTTACTTTCCTTTTGTTAAGTCTTATCTCTTGCAAAGTTCAACAGACCTATTTGCTCTTTGTAAGACTAATTTGAGTTCAGCTGTCTCATTTTGTGATCTTAGTGTTGACGGTTATCTTCCTTTGATTTGTAGAGATTCAAATAGTCACATGCTTGGCCTGAGCATTTATATTTGTAAGAATTCACCCATATCTGATCAAGTTGCCCGAGTCCTGTTATCTTTGTCCATTAGCCAATATTCTTATTGGTGGTGAATTTAATGCTCATAACTAGGGATTGCGATTTCTCAGATTTCCATTCCCAGGGTAGCGGGAGTTATTTACGTTGTTCCCGGGATCCCGGGAAAATCCCAGGAAAGTACATTTATTACATTACAGTACATTTTACATAATAAAATACAAATATATATATATATATTTTATTATTCTTTTCACTTTGTTTTTAAAACTATTTTTGTGATTTAAAGTGACCTTTTAGAAAAACCAGTATATCCAGATGACTGTCTAACAATCTAGTTCTAAACTTTGTAAAAAATAAGCCTGTTGAACTAAAGTTGTTAATAATGTTGCTTCTCTTCTACAAATAATTTCAGAACCTAAAATAATTGGCTCAAGACGTTTTGCTAAACTTTTAACTACATCAAACTCATCATCAGACAACATGAGTTTTTCTAAACTGAAATCCACCAAAGATCTACTTTCTTAACTTTAATAAATCTTTGAATCATGGCCAGCATTGAATTCCAATGAGTTTTTAAATCTAAAATAAGTACTAGCTCTTGTCCAAATTCACTTTTAGAAAAACGTTTCAAAGTATCCATTTTTAAGGGAGATCTTTTAAAAGTTACAACAATTTTACGAACTTTAACCTTACGAAGAACCTTATGAAGGTCAGGAACAAGATCAGGAGCTCGGTCACTATTTTCATTTTCATCATCATTATCATCATCATAATCATCATCAAAAACATCAAAATCATCTTCAATATCTTCTTCATTAGAAATCTGATTATTTTCAACTTTATTTTTATAAATTATATCAACTACAGCTAAATGTATCGCATGTGCAAAACAAAGTTGATATTCAGCAGGAGAAATATTTCTTAATTTTTCCATTACAGAAGCCTGTTGTTATGCAAACCACATCACTGGAAAGGCTCACATTAAACATGTCTAGTTTCTTGATAAGTAGTTGAAAGCAATTGTTTGCATTATGCGATCCAATTATTCTCTCTAATCCGAGATTTATAAATCCAGTATTATAGTGAAGATTTATATTCATAAAACTTCTGCCATATTTTAAAAATTCATCCAAATCTATACTGAACTTGAATTCTTTTTTTTTTATTGTAAGTATTGTCTTTTTTTTTTCTTCAACTATTTCATTATAATATTTATAGATAAGGTTCATGACATCTGTTTTAGATTTAGGTAGACTGTAGCCTTTATCATGAAGCAACTCGCGAATTTGATCCGATTCAGCTATTACACTAATGGAAAATCCAGCAAATGGAGCCAATCGTTCTCCTAATAAAACTTTTTTAATTATAGAATCAATTGTAGATTGAACACAATGTTTTTTATTAAGCGGTTTATCTTCACATTCTTTATTTAAAATGATATTGTGGATTTTCTCTAAATGTCTTTTCAACCCTTTGCATAATATTAATTTTGGACAATGTTTGCATAGTGCCTCATTATTTTTTTTTAGATCAAAATAACTCCAAACCTTTGAAGTTTTACGATTTGAGGACATTTTTATAACAATAATTTAAATTTTTGTTGCATAGTGATAAAATACAAGTATACAATAACATTAAATGATCTTTTGAGGGTCCGGAAAACAAAAAATTATAATTTTGGCGGGAAAGTTGAACAATGTACTATTTACATCCATGAGTACCGAAAAAAATATCCTGGGATCCCAGAAAAAATTTCTGGGATTTCGAATTTTTAGTTTATTTTTTCTCCTGGGAATTTCCCGGGAACAATCCCTACTCATAACATAGTATGACTTGACTCTAGTGTCACTTACTCTGTAGATGCTAAGGCCCAGAAATTTTGCCTTTCTCAATCTCTAATACATATAGTCGACTTTCCAACTCACTTTCAAGACAATCCTAATTATTTACTTTCTCTACTCGACTTATGTTTTGTTTCTGATCCTAGTCAGTGTTCAGTTTCTCCACACTCACCCTTAGGTGCTTCTAATCATGGTTTGATCTCTCTAAAACTATTATCTTATTCATAGAATCCCCTTATCATCGTACCTCTCACATTGTACCTTAAGCTGTCTGGGTAGAAATCTTTCCCTTCCCGCTG